AGGAGGACAAAGAGAAAGAGCAATTCAGCCACACTCAATTGAGGATAAATAGACTATTGCAATTTACATTTATTTACATAAAAAGATAATGTAAGAATAATTTTTATATTCTTCTGTTATTATTGGGGACCATATAGTACGTTGGGATAATTGAATCAGTAGTCATACATATTATTGTGAATATGTATTTAATGGATTACAATGATTGAATATTATTGTGATCAATTTTGTGATGTTTGACTTGCATGGAGAACATTAGTAGGATTTGGTTAATAGATCTCCTTCTATATAGATATCATTAGATCATTGGTGAAAAGGAGCACAGCTTTAGAGTAAGACGAGCGAGACGAGTATTGATCTGGAGTTGAGAAGGATAAAAAAACCTATGTACTCTTGTAAGTTCTATGTGAAATTTAATTAATGCAAGATCTGTGATCTATGAATTGATAGAACAAAAATGCCTACGGTTTATTCTATTCCGCCTAAAAGTTATTAATATGCCCGTTAAATTTCTTTCAAATAAAACATTCTTCATACCCAAAAAGTCAGGTTCATCTGACCAATTTCTACAAAAAAATTTATTTGTTACTTTTCTCTTACTGATGATGTCAGATTTTATGAGAAAGAAATCCGTCGGCTGCTGGTTAGGAAACCAAAACCATACTAAAATTGCAGTTCATGACACCTTTCCACTTAACATCACATAAAAGTCAAGCAATCACAATCGTGTTCACATTACTAGTCAAATTGGAAGGAAAATCACAAATTTATTGCAGATAAAAATTATGGCTACTATATAGTAGTTCAATTACCATATACCTAAACTCGCCAGTTGAAAATAGTGAAGAAACATTTTACAAGAAGATAAGCACCCATATATTTCTGCGCAGGGGCTACATTGTTTGATAAAGAAGTTCATTTTATGATAATCATGAGGAGATATCGCAAAGGCTACGGATTATAACACATTACTTGCTAACATCAAATGCAGGTTTCCCAAGATATAGTGCATTCATACAGTGCACCATTTGGTATTTAGTATTTACATTTTACACATCAAAAGAATAAATACCGAAAGCGGATAACACTAAAACAAACTGCACATACAAAGATAAATTCGCAATCATGAAAATTATTTCGATATACCTCTTCTGGCGTCCATTGCCCCTTTGTTGAACGCCGTGTGGGGCCAGTTGTCCTACTGAACAAAGTACAAGCGATCATGTAAAGTAGTTCCAGGGAATATAAAATAAAATGTCCACATTGTTTGATTGAAAAGAATGAAAAGAACACAATCGGTAAGTAAAAGAAGAACCTGAAGGTAATCAATTACATTACAACATGAAAAACAACAATATACATTAGTAAATCATTTTACCCATTTGAAGCTCGAATTTTGTGTACACTATCTGGGAGTGTGTCTCTGATCCTATCACTTTCCATTATCACTTGGAAAATAAGAAAATCCGCATATGCTGAATCCCACAAGTTTGCGATTTTCTCCAGAATGTCTTTGCCAAAACATACAAGGTGTCCCAATCTAGAATGAAGTCCAAGGCTAAGAATGCACGAATGACAGTGATGAAAATTCAGGACACACTCATGAATGGTACAGATACAGAATAACAGATAAAGATTAAGCACTTCAGGAAATATTCACTTCTATACCTAATCTAGCATGTTAATGAAAATACTGTAGTTGGTAATTTCTTAAACAAAGGTCAGCTATTGACATTGTCAGCATTAAGTATCCGTTGAACAATATTAAATGCAGACCATACTGCCATCCATTGACAGAGGTTTGCAAACAACTTATGTAACTCTGTCACGTGTTGAGAAGTTTTAACTTTAAAACTAAATAAGGGCAGTGAAGTTTACAACTAAAATTGGTTGATGACATGAAAAGGTCAAATTTTCAAAAACTACCGACAACATCCTATATGGATGCACCAAATTCCAATAACAATTAACAATCAAGCCTGTAATAATATAAAAATTCAAACTCTAAACACAAGAATGTTAACAATGCATTATTCGCAAATACTGAAACACCTAAACCTGCAGGGAACAACTTAAACCGAAATTTTCGACAGCATGGCTGAACATACTTGATGGATCATTCATCCACCCAACAAGAAACTTTCACACTAAATAAAAATTAAATCATAAAATTTCAAATATGACCAAGATTTTTAAGCCAGAACAAAAGAGGAATTTCGTAAGCCAATGGAGCAGTAGGATTATTTTGATACCTACAGTCAAAACTCAGAAAATGTGATTTGATGATTCTAAAAGTTGATACTGTAGAACAACTAATCTTAACAAAAAGAAGAAATAAAATAGATAAAAGAACAAAACAATAAACCAGGTAAAAGAGAGATGCATCGACACAGAGAGTAACGTTAGCAATCCCCCGATCCCAAATTAAAGGCCCCGCCGTATTATGACTCCAGTTATGATATCATATATCCAATAACACTCGAGCGAAAGGAACTCAACTCATGAAATCCGAAAAACAACAACATAAATTTAGGGAATTGAAAAGTTCGAGAGCTGAGGAATTCGGCGACTTACCAAACTCAGCTGGACGAATTCGAACCCGACAACAGAAATGCACCGACCCGACCAGATCACCTCGACGGTCATTACCAAATCCCAAATGCTGAGTCCGTTAAAAAAAATGTATAGGTGAAATTGAGAATCTGCACATGCAGGTTGTTCCAGAGGATGAAAAGAAATAGAAGAGATCGAGTACAACGTTGTTATTGAGTGAGAATGAGAGAGAGAGGGGAGACTTGAGTGGTCCGAGAATTCAAAAATGAACAGTGATGCAGACAAATTAAGCCCGACGGTGAAAGGCGAACTCCTCTGTAGAAGTAACGGCTGAGATCATGCCACGAGTAACTATCCGCTGATCCTTTTTTTTTTCAAATGTTTAGGGTGGTGTGTTTGTTTATTGAAAAACTCTAGCAATATAATTAAATATATCAATCAATTATTTTATATATCACATTAGTTTTAATTCATTATTTATGCACACATAATTTTAATTAGTCATATATTCATATCATTATTTTCTCCTTTTACATCAAATAACCTTTAATTATTTTATTTTAAATATTATTTTAATATAAACTAATCATATCATTAACAACTAACCATATCACTTTTTTTCAAAATCAACTCTAATTAACAGAAAAACTTGTTTTAAGCGGATATATTTGCATCAAAGCACGCGAATACACACGGCATAAGACTGCCTTTTATATTACTAGTGACCCATAATTAGCATTGTTAACCAATCAAACATTTTCGATTCAGTTCGTGATTCGAATTCGGTATACATAATTTGTATTCCAAAAAAAATAATTTTGAATAAGAATATTTTTGGTATTAAGAATTAATTCAAATTCAAACCCAAATATGCACATATATGATTCGAACTTATCGAATATTCGATTGGTTAATAATAATTATATATAATTTAATATACTATATATAATATGAGATTTGTTTTTTATAACGTATATAAATATGGATTGGTTCTAATGAGTCTACTTATTTAAAATGAGTATGTGAGACTCAATCCTAATCATTAAATAGGGATTATGATGTATGGCCAAGATTTAGTCTTTTATTTTTTTAATTATTTAAATATTAATTTGACCATTTGATCATTGACCTTGACCGTTGACTTCCGGCATTGAATTACGTGTTGGATTTTAGACGTATGAACCTAGTGCACGCACAGTGAAATTTCAAAATTTTCTTACCAACAACAAAGATCCGGCTATAGCAATTCAATATGACCCTAGGTCGCGTGAATGATCAACTTAAACTTACAGTTGTTCGTCTATGTCCTCGACTATGGTATCCATACAGTCCCATTTTTCAATGTACGATCTAACGTCAATGAATCCTTTTCGATGAAGAAGCTAGGAATCCTCAATCCAGAAAGTCGGATAGTGTTTTCTTTCGATCTTGATATCTCAATCTCTAAGATTTTGGGATATCTCAAAGTTTTTCATATTCATCAATCCATCGATTGAAAACTATGAAGAGATAATGAGGTATTTATAATTAGGTCAAACCTAATCATATAGGATTTAGGAGACCCTATAGCCCAATAGGTAATTGGACCTAATCTAATAATAATTTAATTAAGTATAAATCTAATTTAACTTATTTAAGTATTTTCCATCAAATAGAAAATAATCTCATTACTGATAAATAAATATTCCAATCTAATCGAATATTTAACACACTCGATTCACTCTTAGTCGGAAAATTGATTGCATATTGTGTGATCCTATACGCCTTCATATATTGACATAAATCTAATTTATGATCCTTACAAAACTCCTAGACTACGTCGAAGGACGAACTCAAAATATGAAGTACGTTTACATGGACAAAGCAAACAAACCTATAGTGTAGAACTCGATGGTGATACGGTCCCTTCATTCACGAACCACCCGATTAAGCTTTTAGGACTTAAACGTGTGTCTATCCAAACAGCTTAATCATTTTCTCTCATCTTATTGGTTGACTTTAATCAATTATATTTGAACTCCATTTCAAATATAATCACTTGCATTGGTCAATGACTTTAATAACCAGTATAGAGAAAATGAGTATTCTCTTGAAACTATATTCGATGAATGAATAGTATCTTGGCTCAACTACCAATTCTTTGTGAATCGTGATCAACCCAACACAAGCCCGTATCTACCCCATAAGGAGCGTAAGCTTTGGAATAAGTCTAAGTAAATTACTTTATACATGAATTGTGTATTGACATCAAGTTAAAGGACTATTATATCATTCTACACACTGATACTCTCATAGACTCATAAACATATGGTTTATCAGTAGGGTATACCAATTCTCTCCAAAGTATCCATGTGTCCATCACGAACAACAATTATTCATAGCAGTGAGACATACTATATTCTTCAAGAATATGATGCAGACCACATGTCAATCTATTGTGTATCATTAGTATCCATTTTTTAATGATCATCGATTGAGGTTGAGAGTTATACTTTATCAATTAAGATCTCACTCTGTTAATGACAATATTAACTCAAGGGAGTAATTAATTAATAAATTACAAATAATCAAATAATTATTTAATTCATTGCAATACCTTAATTATAATCATTTATAATATCAATGTGATCATGTATATATGTCCTCAAAAAGATTGTCTCTAGGACACATATACCAACATTCCGGTGATGGCCATTGACTTTCGGCGTTGAACGTTGACCGTAGCATGCATTATGTATGAAGAAAATTGGCATACATCATTTTTATGTGTATTTTATAGTAATTTTTTGTATCTGTTTCGCTGTAGTTTAATATTTATTAATTATCAATTAATTATTTTTATTAAGCAATGATGAGATGTGTTATTTTAAGTTTTAATAGGAAATATGTTCGAATTAATTTTTTAAGTCGAAAATGGTTAAAATCGGTTGAAGAAGATGTGCAAGTTGTGCATTGGAACTATCCTAAGAACAAGGCCCACATTGTGAAGGAGATTGGCCCATTTTATTGTTCTATTAGTCCACACAATAGCCCATTAAGGATAAAAAAAAGCAGCCCAACTCAACAACTAAAGTAAGGGTAATATGGTAAATTACAAATTTTGCTTCTTCTTCTTCATGAGATGTGATACGCATGTTCGTACGCAATTGATGAGCTGCGGCCAGAAACTCGACACCGCCACCACGCCGCTGACAAGCCACCGGACCACCTCGTCGATGTCACAAATTTCCATTACTAGTTACACAAATTTTGTCTTAACAAATGTTTGAGTTACTTCTAAAGTTGATTTCAAAATAAAATCTTTAATATGATGAAATATTTGAGTTACCTCTAAAGTTGATTTCAAAATAAAATCTTTAATATGATGAAATATTGATTAATGTTGAAATTTTTATAGTCATATACAAAATTAAAAATTACTTATCTCCGGAGATCCTAACCAACTCAAACTGAAATGTTACGATAGTCCCAAATAACGAACCGAACTGAAAAATAAAAATCTCCGAAACTGAACTGTCATATTTTTAATATGATTTAGAAAGTGAACTCCAAATTTTGGTACGAGTGTGGAGATTTCACAATCTCCGAATCGTATCGACTTATGTTCACGACTCACCCCTAATGCAAATATAATAAATATCAGGGAATTTTGCACNCCCCAATATATTTTATATACTAATAAATATAATACTTCTATTTAAGATTTTTTTAATATTTTTTAAAAGAAACTATTGCTCTAATAGATAGGAGAGGCCGACCAAACATAAGAACAATGATCCATATGTTCTCGTTACTCGAGAATTTTAGATGGTGCTTGGATATAAAAGTTGTGATTAGATTTTTTCCAGTCATAATTTAAATTTAACTCAATTTCAGTCATACTCAATATTATCTATAATTAAATAATACCATCAATCATCCTCATACACCCCATCAACTTTAATTATTTTATTTTAAATATTATGTTATACAAATTCAAAATCTTATTCAAATATAACATATCAAACTCTTTCATAATTAACTATGGTTAACTAAAAGAACAATCAAAACCAAAATATCCAATTAAAAACTTATATTGAAGCACACCATTAGTGTTGTTTACTTGTTTGTAGATTTTTCCAAAAAATAAATTCAATACCAGCTCAAATCTAACTCATCCCCACCCTATTATTTTGAATATTATCAATATAATTAAATAATATCAATCAATCATCCTTACGCATCACATCAGTTATAATTCATTATTTATTCACTTGCATCATTTTAACTATTTATTACTCCAATCACTTCTCTTACTTTTACATTAAATCAACTTTAATTATCTATATCTATATATATATATATATATATATATATAATTACTAGCTCAAAACATTAAAGAAAACCTCATAAATTTTACCTAGCTGGCACTTTTTGTCCAATTCCCGCCAATTTCCATTACATTTTATTTATTTTTCGTTTTTTATTTTCTTTTTTCAAAAAGAGATCAATTTGTGGGATGAATAAATGTATAAAATAGGAAACAAGTATAATCTGCCATTATTACGAGTTATTGAAAATGTTCCCATTTTTTTTAAACATTTTATTAGTCGGCACAAAAATCAATAATCAATTTTTTAATCTCATCCCAATTGTAATTAAATCATATATTTTGGTTTCCATAGTAAATTTAAATAAATTGATGAACAACAAATAAAAAATTAAATATCAAAAAATACAACAAACCATAAACACAAATTATAAATAATAAAAAAAGCAGAAGCTCCTTTGGGTTTGCAGTTCCTGCAATCAAAAAAAAAAATATCAACATTTAGTATGCCAAAAACATATTAATTATAATCATCAAATTTAAATACTTTTAGATAATTACATTTCCAAACACAGTTGGAGGCGGGAAAATGAAATTGAAACAATTGATATTTTTGGTATACAAATCAGAAAAATAACTCTAATAATTAAAAAGTAAATGTAGTATAATAATCTGAAAAAATAAATGTCCTACAAATTTGAAGCAGTCAAAGAAAATCATTATGTAGGCTTAATTATTAAAATATAATATCCATGATTATAGCACACTTTAACTTGCGAATTAATTTTAAATAACACAAAGTTTGAGGCGGGATAATGAAATTGAAAAAATTGATTTATTTTTGGTGTACTAATCTGACAAATAACTCTAATAATTAAAAAGTAAATGTGGAAACTAATCTGAAAAATAAAAATCCTATATATTTTTGGCAGTCTAACATATATTTATATTCTCATTACCATTTTTTCAATCAATCAAATTTATTTCTATTGATTGCCTCTATTGAAAATTTCCTATATAAATAGTCAGCTGATTTTCAATAACACTCATTCCAACTCCCTACTAATCTAGCTGCAGTACGAGCAAAAATTCCCTCATTACAGCCAATTTTTGTTCCATCAAAATCATCATGAATCAGTTTGATAATTTGACCTATTTAGCAAAAAACAAAAAAATGACGGCAAAACTCAGATTGGTCCGAACTTATCCCAAGTTCTACAAATCGAGCCAAAAAAGCATAAGAGACCGATTTCATTTTTCATGATGCTAAGGTGTTACTAATTTTTTTGGACGTTGTATTATTAATTTTCAAATGTGTCATTGATATTTTGCTAATACTATATTTTTTCTTTTTTTAGGGGCAGCGGATTCATGGTTCTGCACCCGGTTTCTTGGCAAAAAAATTCAAAGATTTCAACCTTCTTGAAGGACAAGTGTACGGGATTAATGATTGGGAACTTACGGAGGACACAAATGCATTCAAAATAACGGAATCAAGCCACAAGTTTGAGTTTAGTGAAAACACAAACATGTACGAGATAGTTGACGTCAACTACCCGAGATTGATGTTCAACTTCAAAAATTACAAGGAGCTGTCCGACCCACAAACAGTTGATTCAAACAAGCTATTTGGTAATTTTTTTGTTTATTTATGAATATACAATTATTCTCACCCTTGTGCTACAATATATAGGATTAATTTATATTATTTTATTTTTTAGATTTGATTGGACGTATTGCTATGGTCAATAGCATACGAACTACAAATTCAAATGGTGTGGAGAAGAAGTTCATAGATGTTGTGCTTGAAGACGTTGAGTAAGTTATAGTTAGTTATAGTTCAAAATCATTTCCTTATAATTCAAGTAATTACGATTTTATTTGTTATTGAAAATTTATTATCTATAATTTTTTAGGGGTTGCCATATAACTTGCACACTATGGGAAGGATATGTGCAAGTCATTGTTGATGCCTTGAACAAAACCCCCGTGACTAACTTGCGTGTACTCATTGTCCAATGTTGTCGAGCAAAGGCTTTCGAGGACGGTACATTCCTCACGTTGATTCATATTTTTTATTTGACATACAATTTATAGTGTTATCTCTAAAAAATTAATTTGTTGTTTTAGGCTCCATAAAAGTTGTGAACGTATTTGATGCTACTAAGCTAATAATGGGGGAAGTACCCGAAATTGAGGATTTCACAGAAAGGTATCGATAATGAAATTATTTTTTATACTTTTCTATTATTTTATATTATACTATATCAATTCAATAATATTTTTTTTTTTTTTGAAATTCCTTTATTGAATATGAAGGTACAACTCACACACAAGGCCAAGTGAGTTATCAATCCAACATGTGAGGCCCTTCATGTATAATGTTTGTGAAGATTTGGAATCTGGCATATCTCCAATCAAGTGCCTAGCTGATTTTTTAGCATATAATGAGGTAAAATTTTTATTATACAATAGTTAATACTAATATAAATATTAAATCTAATAAAGGCTGCACTTATATGTTATATTATTTATTTACTATTTTCAGGAAAAGAATTATTGGATTTATGGGAGCATCGTTGACATATCCCAAAATTGGTTCTTCAAATCTTGCCCAACTTGTGTGCGAAAAGTAGAGGCAAAAGGGGATCGATTTTGGTGCAGCTATTGCAAAGACACGATTCCCTTTGCTCTTCTTAGGTATTTTTATTTCAGAATTTATAAGTATCATTTATATTTATATTATTTAATAATATTTAACTTTTTAATTGTTAAGGTACAAGCTCGACATTTCTGTCGTGGACGACACGGGCATTGTACAACTTCTGTGTTGGGACAAGGTTTCGAGAGAACTAATAGGAAAACCGTGCGAAGATGTTGTCAACGACATATTGAAGGCATGCGTACTTATTATTCCTCCAAATGTTTAAATGATTAATTACATATATCAAAAGTTTTATTGTTTTTATTGTATGTTTTATATGCAGGACGATGATGGTATTGAATTGCCAAATGAAATTAGCATGTTGACTTATAAAGCTGTTATGTTTAAAGTTTCAAAGAAGAAGGATCAGATTGGACCTTATAAAGGTCCATTTACAGTTTCTAGAATGACCGCTGATCCTATTTTGCTAAATCGATTTGGACCCTTGGCAATTCCCTTGATATAGGTTGTTCTCCTGCATTCCTTTACAGGTTATTACCTTTATAATTTTTATTTTTATGTGTAATAAATTTTATATTAGTTTTCTGAATTCTTTTTTTATATATAATAATGAAGGCAGCAAACACCGAGCAAGTGTGCAGCCCAATGAGAGCTGTAAAGGCTGAAGTTATGGACAGCCCAATAAGGGCTGTAAAGGCTGAAGAAGTGGACAGCCCAATGAGGGCTGTAAATGCTGAACAAGTGGACAGCCCAATCATGGTTGAGAAGGCTGAATTGTACAACCCAATTAGGGCTGTGAAGGCTGCAGTGTACAACCCAATCAGGGCTGTAAAGGACTGCATAGAGGCCCCAAAGAAAAGACAGCCAACTGATGGGGAAGAGCCAATGGAAAAGAAGAAAATAAAGCTGGAAAAAATCTGAGTGCACCACATGATTTGGATTGAAGTCTTTTGAAATAAATTAGTATAATGCTTATGTTGAGGTTATATTAAGATTGAAATGTTCCCAATAACATTTGTTTGAATCTGAATGCAATATCTCTTCGTTATATGAAAAAATAAAGTTTAATATATTTAGTGTATTTTTATATTTTTTTGCCCAATATTAATAAACTACTTCAAAACATGAACAGAACATAAGCACACTCACAACATGAACAGAACATAAGCACACTCACGAGAACAGGAATTCAAAGATTTACTTAATTGGAAAATAAATGGAAAGTCAAAGCTTTACTCACAACATGAACATAATTAAAACAGGAAGTGAATCAGGATTTGAAACAGGAATTGAAATAGTAAATTACTAAAGTGTTAAATAAACCTATTGAAACAGGAATTGCAAGAGATTGAAACAATAATTGAAACAGGAAGTTAAACAGGAAGTGAAACAGGATTTGAAACAAGAATCACCTATAAGTGTGCAACATATAATCATGCATTTAAAAACAACAGTTAATCGTGCCTTACACAATATCAGAACACCAATAACTGTACAGCAGATAATCATGCCTTCAAAAATAGAACCACTAATTTCAAGATAAAATGTCCATGCACCAACACTTAAATCACTAAATTCAAAAAGTTAACAGTTTTAAGATTTAAAAAGTTCTGTTTTTCAAGTCCATGATATCCAAACATCTCAGGGAATTAATGTATTTTAGTTTTCAGTCACTAAGTATTTAGTTAATTGGCAAATTAGCAAATAAAAAATAACATTAAGAACATGTACACAATCAATGAATCACATAAATCATGATAAAAAATTGATCATTTTTTAATATCACATTAACTAAAATTAACATTGATTCAACACAAATCCAAACAACATGAAAAGGTTATCCATCAACTATAGCAAATTGGGCAACAAATAGATCAAGAAAGATTCAAGAGATAATGGTACGGATGTTTTCTTTCAAAAAATTAAAATGACTTACCTTCACTTACCTTTTTAGCATAATCTTTCATTAATCTTCTGCTTGACCCTTCCATATGTTTGTCCTTTCCAATTTTCAGTACCCCAAAAACAGATTGTTGCATCCACATTCAGTTCAGAGGCTTCTAAATACATATAAAAAAAATTGTTAATATTATGTTTTATTTCATATAAGATAAGTATTTGAAAGATAACATATAATAATATTACTTATCTGTTTATAATCTTTCTCATGCGTAGTCTTCTAATGAACCTGTTTAAAAACCAATATATCAGTTTTCAGCAATCACCTATGCAAAAATCATGAGTTTAATACAGAATCTAAAAATCATGTAAAAAATCAAGAATCAGTTTTTACAGTACATATCAGTTTCTCAACAAATTGAAGATATTCAAAGTCAATAATAATAATATACCAGTCAAATCATGTAAAAATTAGTTTTCTAGAGTGAATTTACTCGATTTAATGAAACCATGATTTCAGCACACAGATATTACAGAGATACAACAGTTTCATAATACCTTCCACAAGAAATCAAGTCAATAATCCTAATAAAAGCTAACAAATACACTTAATATATTTACCAAATATAGATGCTGTAGTTTGCTATATAAACCCTCAAATTTTATTTAGTCTACTTATCCCAAAAACACATCATCTACAGAAAAATTTATGCAACTTCAAGTGGCTCATCAGCCGAGCACATAAAGACCAAACAAGAAGCGTATTAAAGCAGAGAGAGAAGGTGGATTCAGCACACAAGCTTTATTCAAGAGCAAGCACTCAATGAACGCTGATTCAACACAAATCCAAACAATATGAAAAGGTTATCCAGCGGCTACAGCATATTGGGCAACAAAAAGACCAGAAAAGATTCAACAGAGAATGGTACACCACAGATTAATGTGTACCCGTATATGATAGAGAATAAAAAAATAAAATACGTACCTTTTTAGCATAATCTTTCATTAATCTTCTATTTGAGCCTTCCATATGTTCGTCCTTTCCATTTCTCAGTACCCCCGACACACATTGCTGCCTCCACATTGAATTCAGAAGCTTCTAAACCTACATATAAGATCAAATTGGTTAGTATTATGTTTTATTTCATATAAGTTAAGTATTTGAAAGATAACATAGAATATATTACTTATCTGTTTTTAATCTAGCCCATGTGTAGTTTTCTAATGAACCTGTTGAAGATCAATAGTATATTATACATATGTACTACGGCAACATCGGATATTAGGTACAAAACTTTTAAAAAAACATATATAAAAAGAAATCCTCAGATATAGGGTTCCAACGGTGGTTAGACATAACAAAAAACACCTTACTTTAGTCTATCTAAGCATGTCTACAACTTATGTAAAAAAAAAAAACGAAACAAGACTTNAATACATAATTTAAAAAAAAAAAATTAATTACGAAATGTGTAGATCTATTACAAAGCTGTACATTTTAATCGAAGGAAAATTTATAAAACATTTTAAAAAATGGAAAATTTGTAGATCTACCAAGATATATAATGTAATCATCTGAAAACACTACAGATCTGTACAGATCTATTATGTAATCACGATTTAAAAAGCAAAAATGGTTTAAAACAATAAAAAAAATTACAAACAAAATATAGATCTACAAAGATCTATATGTAATCGCCCGATTTGTACCGAGATACTATGATTTAGTAAATCGTTGTTGTAAAATCGGGGCGATTTCACTTTGTCGTCTCCCTTTTGATTCGAAACAATTACGGCTCAGGTATTTTTCGGTATAGGCTTAAAAAACAGAATTGAATCGCCGGTGAAAACATCGTTTTTTACGAAATTATCGGCGAAAAATGGTCGGAAAATTTCAGTAGAGAGAGAAATGAGAGAGAGAAACGGCTTCAGAATTATGAGAGAGGCGAGAAAAATGGCGAAAACGGTGCCCTCATTAGGGTTTTCAATTATTTAAATGCAACTCAGACAGACAGACACGCGTCTGAAATATATGTAGCTCAATGGTGTACGTGTGGCCATTTTAAACGGGTATAGGTGACATATTTTTTTACCCATAATGTGGGCTCATAGGGTACCAATATTTGTTTGTAAAAGCCCAAAACAAGTGAACATCATTTGATGGGATTTAAATGAAGAGCCCAATAAATCATGTTCCAAATTGTTGTATTACTAAATTTTTTCATTTAAACAAGTAAAAATATTAAATGTATATATTTATACAATACTGTTATATTATAAAATTCAATTTTTTTTTTGTTTGTTTTAGTTTATTATATCACAATTTAATTTTTCTTAAGTTTGACATTTTTAAATTTACAGTTGTTGTAACTTAAAAATCAACTATATTTATTTAATTATTGTAGGTTCATTATCAAATTTGTCTACAGTAACACCTTCGTTCCAAACACCACCAGTTCCTACTAATGCGTGTCCTATCAAACAAAAATCGGGTATGATTATATTTTTTTTAATTGTTGTAAATCTTTTAGAATTGATAATTATTTGTATCATTATAAGAAATATTGTTATTGATATGTTTAGTTTTATTTAGTTTTATATAATCTTTCATTTTAGGTGTTCCAATCCTAAATTCACAGCGTTCGTCTCAAAATAGTTTCATATCCCACATCGCTTCGTCTCAAAATAGTTCCATATCCCACATCGCTAAAGCTTCTTCGAGCGGTTTGGTACCTTTTAGTGACCTTACAATTGAGGATGATGAAAATGCTACACCGACTTCGTTGGTTAACCATGTCAACAAAGGTATCCCTAAATTCATTATCAAATTATGTCACTTAATTTATTTTGTAACAAAATCTAAAATTTAGTTACTCATATATATTTACCTCGCGTATACTTTTTCCAGTTTCATCATCAAACTTGCCACCTCGGAAGAACGTAGGAGGTCGTCCGAGACTCGCCTTACGACACATCACAAATGGTAATTCCAAAAACACAATCAATTTGTTCAGTTTAATTTATGTGAAAAAAATAATCATCTATGTTTCCATGTTATATCTTCAATGATTATACCAATTATCGAATGTCCTGCAGTTTCATCTTTGAGCTTGCCACCTCGGACGAATGTAGGCGGCCGTCCGAGGCGCCCAACCAGTCCTTCCATTACCATCAACAATTCCGGTTCGTCGAACTCATCAACCAAAACTGCTAATTATTTTTTTAAAGATATTTTTTAATTTATTTTATGGAAAGAGGGATGCATGACTTTGTTGATTTTTAGAATATTTAAAATATATAATATATTTTAAATTTATTTTTAAATTACAATGCCACAGAATATTGGGATATTGGCGACGCATCGTTCCGTTGCCTTCACTGTGGCGCGAGATTTTGGTACTCTGAGCGATTGGGCAAACCATCTAAACCTAAAGTCGCTAAGTATTCTGGTTGCTGCAACAACGGATTCATCGAACTTCCACCCGTTTACACTCCTCCCCCCTTTCTGCGTGAGCTGATTTTTGGGTCAGGTCCACGTAGCAAGCGCAAGAAAAAATTCGGTCTTACAACAATATGTTCTGCTTTACATCCATGAGGGGAAAAATCAATACCGACATAAACAAGGGAACCGGCCCACCCGCCCTCCGTTGCACGGTCAGAACTGTGAACTATTAAGGATCGCATCCCGCGCATATTCTACATTATAGCCTGCAACTGATTCAGCTTCCGCTTCTGGGAGAACCATTTAATGGGTAGTTTGCTACCTGACCATGGGGCGCCTCCGAAATTTGCTCAATTGTACATCTATGACACAGAGAACGAAGTATCAAACCGATTGTCTTCTGTGAGGTATATATATTATATTTTTAGCATTAAAAATTGAGTACTTATTTTTTCTTCATTGCGTTTTACATTATCTTTACTACTTCAATATAATTTTTTCTTTATGTCGGGAGAGGTTCTGAAAGAAATAACCTAGATGAGGATGTCGTTCGTGGTTTAAAGGAGCTACTCGATCATTATAATGTTTTGGTAAAGTCGTTCAGGATGGCGCGGGAGACGGTGGACCAGCACCGGCAAATTGAAGTTAAGATGCGTCTTATCGGTAGAAGGAACAAGGATGGTCGGCGTTATAATTTACCCTCCACTTCTGAAAATGCCGCCTTAGTTGTTGGGGATTTCGATGATGCTCTGGGCAGCAGGGATATTATAGTAGAAAATCGGAGCGGACGTCTGCAGCGGATAAACGAGTTGAACGCTTCCTACTTGGCTCTTCATTATCCTATTCTTTTTCCATATGGCGAGGATGGTTATAGGTAGGACATTCCGTTCTCCTGCCTAAAACCGATCACGGAGAGGTCGAGGAAATTTATCAGCCCGTTGGAGTTCTTCAAATATCGAATGCACGATCGAGACTGCGAATTGTCGTCAATTCTTTCCGCTCGGAGGTTGTATCAGCAGTTTGTTGTGGACGCTTATACAATGGTAGAGGGATTTCGGCTCAGATACATCCGTTTTAATCAGAAGAACTTTAGAACTGAATTGTACAACAGACTATCCGACGCTGTGTTGCGCGGTGACACGGATCCTGCTTCTCAAGGTAAACGGATTATAATTCCGTTATCCTTTACGGGTGGCCCGAGATATATGATTCAGAACTATCAGGATGCGATGGCCATTTGTCGTTGGATCGGTTATCCTGACATTTTCATAACCTTCACTTGCAATCCGAAGTGGCCCGAAATCAGTCGTTTTCTTGCTGAGAAGAACCTCAACCCAGAGGATCGTCTTGATATAATATGTCGGGTTTTTAAGACCAAGTTGGATGCATTGATGAGGGATGTTCGACATAACAAGATGTTTGGAGATGTGAATGCAGGTATTTTTTCAAATATTTTTTATTTGATTTATTTATATTTTTTATTATATGTTTTGCATTGTACTATTTTTTACCTAAGTATGAATTTACTGCAGCAATCTACACGATTGAATTCCAGAAACGTGGCCTTCCGCATGCGCATATCTTGCTTTTCCTTGTCAAGGAATACAAGATACAGACTACTGATGGCATAGATAACATAATTTCTGCGGAAATACCGGATGAGGCCACAGATCCATTTTACTATGCCGCTGTTAGAGATCATATGATGCACGGCCCCTGCGGAAGTGTTCGCCCGAAATCTCCGTGTATGGCAAATGATTGTTGCACAAAACATTTTCCTAAAAAGTTCTCCGAAACCACGACTCTTGACGAAGAAGGTTATCCACGATACAGACGCCGTGATAATGGCAGGACCATAGAAAAGAATGGCATTCCATTGGATAACAGATACGTTGTGCCTCATAACAGAAAATTGCTGCTGAAGTACGGCGCGCACATAAGTATGGAGTGGTGCAACCAGTCGAGGTCGATCAAATATTTATTCAAGTATGTGAACAAGGAGAACGATTGCGTCACTGCCACCTTCCATGCGTCCAATGGATGAGTCCTCAAGCAGGCCAGTTGACGAGGTGAAGATGTACTATGATTGTCGATTCGTTTCTTCTTGTGAGGCTGCGTGGCGGTTGTTGGATCATGAGATTCAATACAAGCACCCATCAGTGGAGCGCTTGCATTTTCACCTTGAGAACGAGCATCCGTGCTACTATGACGATGAAGTTCCGATCGATGAAGTGGTTATGAAAAATAAAAATGCCGGCAGCAAATTTTTAGCTTGGATGGAAGCTAACAAGAAGTATCCTGAAGCTAGGAAACTGACCTACGTTGAGGCTCCCACCAAATTTACGTGGCACTAGGAAATCAACAGTTGGGACCCTAGAAAAGGAAGTGACCGTATCGCGCGTTTGTACTTCGTCCCCCCTGGTGCTGGTGACATATATTACTTGAGGTGTGTTCTGAACGTTGTTCGAGGTGCAACGTGCCATCGTGACTATATGAAGTTGGACGGAGTACAACACGATTCTTATCGTGACGCGTGTTATACCCTCGGTCTGGTGGAGGACGACAAAGAGTACATTGAAGGGATCATCGAGGCAAGCCAGTGGTCGAGTGCCAATTCGTTGAGAAACCTTTTTGCTACTTTGTTGTCTTCTGATACTCTCGGTCGACCGGAGTTCGTGTGGGAATCATGCTGGCTTTACCTATCGGATGATATATTATGTAATCGTCGGAGGGTTTTACAGCACCCAGGTAAATGAATTAATTACGGTCACATACTTATGTTTTTTTCTTTTTCTCTTATGTCTTTATATTTATAAACTTTTTATATTGTTGTTACAGAATTGGTTTTGAGCGATGATGAAGTAAAGAATCTGGCATTGGCGGAGGTTGAAAAAATTTTGCGCAGACGTGGAACGAGTCTTCGCGAATACGGTACAATGCCTTTTCCTAATCTCGATCGTCATGAGGCATCCACGAACAGACTGGTGATGGACGAGTTGAATTACAATCGTCGTGCAGTCGCTATTGAGAATCAAGAGTTGGTTGCCAATATGACTGATGAGCAGCGCAATGATTATGACTCGATAATGGACTCTGTTTACCGTACCTACGGCCGCATGTTTTTCGTTTATGGTTACGGCGGCACCGGAAAAACGTAAGTCTGGAGGGCGTTGTCTTCTGCTTTGAGATCCAAAGGTGAAATTGTTTTGAACGTTGCATCGAGCGGTATTGCGTCACTTTTGCTTCCTGGCGGACGCACTGCGCATTCACGATTCAGAATCCCACTAAACCCAGTGGAAGGCTCTACATGCGATATTACCCAGCAGAGTCCTTTGGCCGAACTGATCATACGATGTCGGTTGATCATTTGGGATGAAGCCCCGATGATGAACAAATATTGCTTTCAGGCGGTTGACAACACCTTGCGAGCCTTAATGGAAGCAGTTGATCCATCGAGGAAAAATCTCCCATTTGGCGGCAAGTGTGTTGTGTTAGGTGGGGATTTCAGACAGATATTGCCCGTTGTTCCTAAAGGCAGTCGAAGCGACATAGTTAATGCGACCATCAATTCATCCAAGTTGTGGCGCGATTGTATCGTTCTGAGACTGACTCGGAATATGAGGCTTCAAAGCCTTGGTGGGGGCAATGAGTACGATGAGTTGAGGAGTTTCTCTGAGTGGCTTGCAAACATCGGCGACGGTATAGTCGGTGAATCGAACGACGGTTGTGCCGTTATCGACATCCCCGACGATATTCTTCTACACTCACAAGGGAATCCAATTGGTACTATTGTTGAGAGTACCTACCCGATGTTCAGAAGTGCATGTGATGATTTTAACTATCTGAAGGACAGAGCCATACTCGCCCCCACACTTGATGTGGTTGAGTCCGTTAACGAGTACATGAGCTCGCTGAACTCATCCGAGGGAAGGACTTATTTGAGTTCAGACACTGCCTGCAAGTCAGATGCTGGATATGATTCTCTTTAGGATCTTCACACTCCTAAATTTCTCAATGGGATCAAATGCTCTGGACTTCTGAATCATAAATTGCACCTTAAGGTCGGCACTCCAGTGATGCTTCTCAGAAACATTGATCACTCCATGGGGTTGTGCAACGGTACTGTTCATCAAAATTCTATCTATCATCTATATTTGTTTTTATCTTTGTACAAATTTTAGTGATATGTTTTTGTTTTCCGAACTTTGATGTCAACAGGTACACGATTGGTTATCACTAAGCTCAGCAGCCATGTCCTCGAATGTAGGATTTTAACCGGCGCCAAAGCTGGTGACAAGGTTCTTATTCCTAGGCTCACAATCATACCATCCGATCTGAGGGTTCCGTTCAAATTTCAACTCAGACAATTTCCGCTCATGGTTTCATATGCTATGACTATCAACAAGAGTCAAGGCCAGTCACTGTCCCACGTCGGCTTACTATTGAAGAACCCTGTTTTTAGTCATGGACAGTTGTATGTGGCACTATCTAGAGTCACGAATCGAAGGGGTTTTAAAATAATGATTTGTGGTGATGGAGATTGCAACTTTCTTGAATGTCATAAATTATGATAAAAAACCAATCAAGGGAGTTACAAAATTATACTCAAATTTTAAGTCACACCCACTCATGAAAATAGCCGGATGTATTAGCATAAAGAAAATTGTTGTAACGACTCTTTCATAACAATTACATTATCAAAATCAATTTTGAAAGTTATTTTCTTAATTCATATTTTTTCATGAATTAAATTATGATTTATTTTATTTTTTTTATATTGTTATCTTTTTAAAGTATCAAAATTCCACTCAAACTTAATCCAATCAACTTTTTCAAAATTAACTATGGTTAACCAAAAAAATCTATGAACAACCACGTCCTTAGTCCTTAAGGGTCCTAATCAATTCATATCTTCTCTTAACTTAATTTTAGTCCTTAAGGACGTTTCAAATTTGATTAGCAATTCTAACCTGCAAATCCATTAACAATTCCATCTACGACAACCAGACTACAGAAGCTAAAAAGATACGAAAAAACTTCAAAATCATATATTAAACACTACTGCAAACAAAGTTCAGTTAATGATTTAACACTGGTAGGATTGACACAATCAAAGGCTGGATCAAGTAGCAAACACAACATAAAATAGACCACAAAATTGCATGTGTTAGATCAAACAATTCTTCTCATGCTGCTCGCACTTTCTGAACCTTACTGGGTCGACTGGCTGAGTCATTATCCCTCGATCGAGAATGCTTCCCGCCAAAATGCCTACCGCCTCTGTTGTTCTTTCCTCCCCTATAAAAGAAGAAAAAAAAACATCAAAACATATTGAAAAACACAATCACCAATAAACACCAATTATCATTCAAAATTACAGAATTTTCCTAAAGCACTATTACCCTCCAATATAACCTACTTACCAAGGGTATAACCCTTAGGGTACAATGGGTAAAAGAAAAACACAAGTAAAGAAAACACATGAGAAACCAATATGTGATATCTTAAAAGAGTACTGTTTTTTTTTCCTCATAAATAGGCTAAAGTAGGTAGCTTTTTGTTTTTTTTTTTTTTTCTTCTTCTTAATTAGGTAGGTAGTTTTGTTAAGTTAGCTCTTGATTCAAGACACCTACTAAACTGAAAGTATGGCCGATATCTTACCTTCCACGGTTGCTCTTAAAATTACCACGGTACTTTTCCTGACTGCTACGTAGTGAACTCCAGTATTCCTTCTCAGCTTCACCTGAAATTCAGACAATTTTTAACTTCTTCCAGGTTTATGCTGCATGTGAAAAAATGCAAGGAGAAATTTTACATATAACTGTATTAACTCCAGCAGTTATATGTCGTTGACGTCATTATCATAATACTACTCCATCCAATAAACATTGGCCAGTAGAACTCGTATAAGAATCATGTCAAACAAACAACACCACAAAAATAGCAGATATATATCGTATAGTCAATCAAACATGAAAAAAATGAATGAAGATCAAGCAAGAGGCTGCAACAAACCAGTGACGGGTTCCAGAGTAGCAATGCAATTTTTCACAGTCAGACCACCTTCATCAGCAAGAACTGCAGCAGCACGAGCCTTCTGAGCAGCTCCAGCATCTTCATACCTCACATAACCAGAGTCTGATCCCATACTAAAGTCGATGAACTACATAGGAAAAAAAAAAAGAAAAAGAAAAAAGAGAACGAAACCATCCAGACATTAGATGAACACATCTATATTCCCCCCTACACGCCAATAGTCTCAGATACAACAAATACACGCCAATATACCCTCTGGACAGGGACCAGGACATATCAAGCAACATTGATAGAGGGACTATTAGCAAAATAGTAAAAGCTAAAAGTAGTTGAGGATAAGAGGCAATGATGTCTTTAAGTAAAACCAAAATTATTGATTATACAAATTGAATGTCATAAATAAGTTGCTTCCATCATTCTGGGTTCTCATAAAATATACATTGATTTATATTGCCAAAATTCATTCCCTAGCTTTAGATTCTGACTTGTCAAACACTAAGAAGTAAGAACTACTCTTCTTCAGTCAGAAACTAAGAAAATAATATAAACACTCCCTTATTCTGTCCTTGAAACTGCACAAAGCATATAAATTGGTTCTACATCATCAGAAAAATAACAATGAATGGAGGACTCATGGTTGATGGTTAATACCTTGACCGCACCAAACTTCTGGAAAATAATTTTCAGGTCCTCCCTCATAACGACATCTTTATTGTCCTTGTAGGCCTTTATTTTGCCTTCACCCGATCCTTGGACCTCCTTCTCAGTCTGGACGTCAGAAGATTTCTCTGTATCTTCAGATTCCTGAGCTTCAGTTTCATCTGCACCGACTTTATCCGGTTTCTTTTCCTCACCCTTCACATCTTCATCCACAAGGTTGCTTGTATCTGTAACATCTTTGATTCCTTCAGAAGCAACTTGCATTTTGTCTTGATCACCATCTTTCTCAGAGACATCCGGGTTGTCATTACTAGTCGACTTGTGAGTACCATTTTGTCCCGTAGAATCTTGACCAGAGATCTTCAGTTTGAATGAAACAATTAAGCCTTTGGGGTAGCTGCAACAAATGGTTACCAGATTAACATATGATGATGTGAGTAAATATACAGATGATTGAAAATATTGATTTTGTTGAACACGCACTCAGGCTCAGCTTTAGCCTTGTCCTTGTGGTTAGAATTAGCTTGAGGACGAGTCTTTGCAGCTTCTTCCTGTTGCTTAGCTCTTTCTGCATCAAATTCCTTCCTAAAACAGAAAGAAAAAGATACTTATCAAGCTCTGCATAAGGCTAACAAGAAAAGGTAAAAAAAAATAATTATTTAATCAAGATACGATGCAATAAGTCATCATTATATCATCTTTCCATATTATCCACTATATGAGGTGGTATATTTAGTTTTAACTTAGCAAGCAAGCCAAAAATCAGATTACTCTTTTCTGTTTGTGTAGACGCTTTACGATACAAATGATCAACTAAGGAAATTTAAGAACACAAAAAATAAAAAGATTTTAGGAGAACCACAAATGTATGACATTCATAAATGAAGTGCATTTCCTAGGTACACTTGGTAACACAACATGCTACTAAATGAAATGAGGAAATTGCAAAACAGTAGAAGCAATTTAAATGATGCAACGCAACCCACCTAACACATATAACGCAACAAGGAAGATTTTAGTGGAGCAAAATTTCAGTCCCATCATCAAGAAGAGACAGAAAATAAATACTAATTATCCATATATTACATGGAAATGTCCCACTGATTCTAAATCCGACAAGTGATGAACATGTTCCTAGAATAGATCAAGATCAGAATTTAATGTGTGTGTGTATATATATATATATATTAAAAAATGTGAACATACTTCGGTTTCAGTTCCAGCTCAACACCCGAGTAACTCAGGCTCTGCTTCAAAATGTTTGCAGCATCTTCCTCACTTGAGAACTCAATAAGTGCCGTGCCACAGAAAACCCTGTTATCAGCAGCATGTCGGGGTAGCCTCACACTGTTAACCTGGTGTGAAAGATAGAATCTATGTTACAAAAGGCTGTGAAAGCTTCCAAGCTAAGTTACACGAGGTTGTGAAAGTTAGCAAGAAAAAGTACTAAAAGCCAAGAGTGTCTGATACAAAAACAATGTCAAAAGTTCTACTAAAGAATCATAACTAGCAAGTTACTGGCATGTCCAAATGTCAAACTACATATTAGCTTAGGCACATGAAAATCATAATTCCATACCAAAAAAAAAGAGTCAAAGTTCCATTCCATTCATCAGTGAACTATAGCCTAATTGCTCACCTTTAATTTTGTACAAGAATTTGCATCATTGTCGGTGGAAGTTAACAATTATAACTAGCAATCAGTCAATCACGTTTTGACCAAAGGACAACACTGAGTATCAAATTAGAAACACAGCTAATATGTGAGTCACAAGATGTACCTTAGCATACTGGCTAAAAAATAACTCCACATCCTCGAGCTTGACATCATATTCCAGGGGTAAAGCCGCAATTGTTCTTTCATCAGATTGCTTAATAGCCTCCTCCAACTTTGGAAGCTCAGTAAGTCTACCAACCTTTGTACCTTAACATGGAATAAATGAAACATCAATTCAGTAAAAGATACAACATTCAATTTAAGAAAGTGACATGTCTTGATCTTTAACCCTCACCATCTTCAGAAACCCGAAGAAAAGTCGAGGTCCTCAGAGTTTCAGCCACAGCCTTAACTGTATCTTCCGGTACATCTTCAGGTTTCACTTCTCCCAAACCCAAGTGCCCTCTCATCCGAGAAAATGACGAAATCAAAGCCAAACTTACCACTAGAATCCAGTTAAGAAATCAATTTACTAACAAGACACCATATGCGTCTTTATGCAAGTATAAGTGATTTATTGAACTGGGTGCATCAGCTCTGCTTTTGTAAATTAGCTCATAATCCATGAGGCACACAATTAAACCTACACTGAAATATAAAAATTCAAGTCCCAACTGAAAAGTTCTGTAGTTCCACTCTTAACTAATAACAAACAGTTTGTGCCAAACTAATCCTAACGATTGAAACCACATTATTTTCCCTAAATCTTCAAACCCCACAAAGAAAAAAGAAAAATCAACTGCAACCCTGGCAAAAACAAGAAAATGAAAGTGGAAAAGGATACATCCATCATCACTTTCGCTAATGGTTTTCTTCATAAACGTATCCCTGGGAAGATTGCTGTCACTAAAATAAAACTCCACCTGAAATAACAACAGATTTGAATGTGAATTGGAGGGGAAAAATCGAGCATCACATCATATTCTAACAGTCAATAGGAAAAGCCAAAATAATTGCGGAACATAAACAAAGATAAAACTTTTATTACCTGACGAATGACCTTTTTTGCTGTCTCTTCGTCCAATGATGGCGCCATGGTTGCAGTGGTTAGGTTAGGGAGTGTGGCACTGTGAAAGAGCTCACGGGGAGAGAGAGGGAGCAGCAGTTAGGGTTTTGGGGATGGGGATTTAGGAGTTAATGATAATTTTTAAAGGGTTCTTTGTTGTTTGTGGACTAAAAGACCAAATAACCACCGGCTTCGCTTATGGCAACTGCCCATTACATAACACGGATGGAAGAGATTTAACTGGTCCACTCTTTGAAAAATCAAGGCATGGCACGTAGGACTGTCATTTTTTAACCGAAAATCGAATCGAATCGACGAGAAAATAAATTAAATCGTACCGACTCATTTATAACGGTAACCGACTATCGATTATCAACTTGTTATCGGTTCCAAAACCATATAGGTTCAATTTTACCCAACAGAACCGATAAGGAATTTAAACAATAATAATAATAATAATAATAATAATAATAATAATATATCTATTCACTCTCATTTTTAACTTACTGTATGTATATATATATATATATAGGGGATGGATCCAATGAGACCACTCCTTAAAATGAGTACGTGAGACTCAATCTTAGCCACTCATTTTGTCTAGATCAAAATCAATTAAAATATACATTAATTAAATAATAAAATAATTATTAGTTGACTCCGGCGTTGACCGTTGACTCCGGCGTTGACCGTTGACTTCCGACGTTGACCGTTGACTTCCGTCGTTGACCCGTTGCATTGAAATAAATAACCTAGCAACAAAAACCACTCAACCTTGAGTGGTGTAGTGGTTGCATTACTTGTCTTGCTTCCATGAGGTACCAGGTTCAAATCCTATGGGTTACAATTTTTTTATAAAAAAATACAACTAACTTAGTAACATCAGACAACTAACCTAGCAACAAAACACAACTAACTTAGCAGCATTAGACAACTAACCTAGCAACAAAACACAACTAACCTAGCAGCAAGAAAGAACAACTAAACTAGTAAGAAAGAACAACTAAACTAGCAACAAAGACAACTAACCTAGCAACAAAACACAACTAACCTTTTATAAAAAAATACAACAACTAACTTAGCAGCATTAGACAACTAACCTAGCAACAAAACACAACTAACCTAGCAGCAAGAAAGAACAACTAAACTAGTAAGAAAGAACAACTAAACTAGCAACAAAGACAAATAACCTAGCACCAAAACACAACTAACCTTTTATAAAAAAATACAACTAACTTAGTAACATCAGACAACTAACCTAGCAACAAAACACAACTAACTTAGCAGCATTAGACTCTCCCCTCTCTCATTTCTCCGAACCAGAGTGGATTCGTCAAGGATCGGGTCATTAGTGATAACATCCTTCTGGCCCAGGAGATGATCCACGACATCTCCCGAGCGGACTGGAAGCGGGCTCCGAATATCGCGCTGAAGCTAGACATGGCTAAGGCGTATGATAGGGTTGAGTGGCCGTTTCTTAGGGAGGCGTTGGCTAGGATGGGATTCCCTGAGCGTTGGATCAACTTTGTGGAGGCGTGTGTGGAGCATTGCACGTTCTCGGTCCTGATTAACGGCAGCCCCACCGATTTCTTTCCCTCCTCTAGAGGCCTTAGACAGGGCGACCCCCTTTCCCCTTCCCTCTTCGTTCTTGCGGCGGACTACCTCTCTCGCTGCCTTGACGGCTTCATCTGCGACTCTCCCCATATGACCTATAGCACTTGTGGCTATGGTCCTACTGTCTCTCACCTCTCTTATGCGGATGACATCATTATCTTCACCCGGGCGGATGATGATGGACTGGTCGAGCTTATGCGCCTTTTGGAGCACTATGGCTTGGTCACCGGTCAGCTGGTCAGTGTGCAAAAGAGTACTTTCATCCTTTCATCTGCCACCGTGGACAGGTGGGCTCAGCGGGTCCACGACATTACTGGCTTTGCGCGTGGCGACCTTCCCATTACCTACCTCGGGGTCCCCTTATATAAGGGCAACCTCACGAGAGCGCTCTTTACGGGCGTCAGACAGAGGATGATCGACAGGATCTCTGGTTGGTCGCATAGATATCTTTCTTTCGGTGGTCGGCTAGCGCTGATCAAGAGCACTCTTAGCTCTCTTCCGATTCACTTGCTTATGGTCCTCGACCCCCCTAAGTCTACTCTTGATGAGCTTGACCAGATTATGGCTCGTTATTTCTGGGGTTATGAGGACGGGTCTGGAAGGGGGAGACGTACTCATTGGGTGAGTTGGGACTCTATCTGCCGCCCCCTCCACGAGGGTGGCCTTGGCATCCGCCGCCTTAGGGACATTGTCACAGCTTTCTCATACAAGCTGTGGTGGCGCTTCAGGGAAGGAAAGTCGCTTTGGGCTCAGTACCTTCGCGGCAAGTACTGCCCTAGACGTGCCAACCACCTTTGTTGGGTCACGGCTGTTGATCATGATAGCAGACAGTGGCGGCGCCTCACGAGGGTCGGGAGGCGAGCCCAGGATCACATCTTTTGGGTCTTGGGCGGGGGCGATGTCAGCGTCTGGGATGAGTGGTGGGTAGGTGATAGGCCGTTGTCCAGGGACAGGCAGGTGTCGCATTCCCCATATCTGCTCGTGAGCGACCTCTGGACGGACGGGTCGTGGGATAGGGGGAAGCTTGATAGGGAGTTGGGGGCTGGTGCGGGTTTTAGCGAGCAGTTATTAGATCAGATCCAGCAGATCCCTATCTCGGGGGACGGTTCAGATAGCATGAGGTGGAGACTTACATCATCAGGTGTGTTTTCTACTACCTCGGCTTGGGAGCAGATAAGGCTGAGGGATCGGCCTAATCTCCTCTTCGGGGCTATCTGGAGTGACCTTTTCACGCCTACTATTTCGGTGTTCCTTTGGCGCCTCCTCTTGCGCAGGATACCTGTCGATACTGTGCTACATGCGAGGGGGATCTCCTTCCCCTCTCGGTGTGTGTGTTGTTCTGAGACTGGATGTCATGAGACTGAGACCTTTACCCACCTTTTTCTAGAGAGTGAGATTGTGAGGAGAGTGTGGGAGCATTTTGCCACTTGGACTCATATATCCCTACCCACCACATACAGTTTTTTTGAGCTCCTGAGTTTTTTCTCACAGAGCACACACCTTAGACACGTGGGCTTCCTCATTCCTTGTCTGATCCTCTGGTTCACCTGGACAGAAAGGAATAGTGCGAAGCATAGGGATGTTACTTTTATGTTTTCTCACATTGTTTTGCAGGTAGAGAGACACATTTCACTCCTCACCGCATTGGGCAGGCTCACGGCCCGAGACTGGACAGGCTGCACGCCACCGTATCGCTATATGGTGGCCCCACCACCAACTGTTCGGCCTCCACGGGCCAGAGCTGTTGTTTGGCTGCGACCTGACTCTCCGTGGGTCAAGCTGAACACTGATGGCTCCTTCGATCGCCACACTGGACTTGCCGGAGGAGGAGGCTTGATTCGGGACCATAGCGGCGCACTCATCACCGCCTTCCACGCGTCCATTCAGGCCTCCTCGAGCTACAATGCAGAGATTCAGGCACTACAGATTGGCCTTCAGATTGCTGTCCACCTCTCTAGTCATATATGGATCGAGCTGGATGCTGCGGCTGTCGTTACCCTCCTAACTTCGGGCCATCAGGGCTCGTGGCAGATTCAGCACCCGCTTCTGCGCATTAGAGATCTACTTCAGTCAGTCCATCACAGGATCACGCACATTTTCCGTGAGGGGAACAGACCGGCTGATTACCTGGCTAGCCTTGGCACCACCATACCAGGCACACATACATTACAGACCGACACTGCTCCACTCCGACTTCGCACTCTTGTACGGATGGATCAGCTTGGATATCCAGCGTTCCGCTTTCACTAGTATAGGATTTCTATTTTCATTAGTTTAGACCTATCTCGGGCATCTGTTAGCCCGAAGATCGACTTTATTTTGTAGTTTTTCGGTTTTTCTTTCTTGTTTTCTTTTGTTTTTGATTTTGATTATCAGACTATGTAGACTTTTGTATCTGGTTCGTTGACATTTCGGGCTCCCGTTTTTGGGGCCCTGATCTATGCACAGGTTGGGGATCCAGCCCAATCCCCCGTCCTTCCGGGGCGTTGTTGTTTTAAAAAAAAAAAAAAAAAAACCAACAAAAGACAAGCATTAGACAACTAACCTAGCAACAAAACACAACTAACCTAGCAGCAAGAAAGAACAACTAAACTAGCAACAAAGACAACTAACCTAGCAACAAAACATAACTAACCTAGCAACAAAAGACAATTAACCTAGCAGCAAGAAAGAAATAACCTAGCAACAAAAGACAACTAACCTAGCAGCGAGAAAGATATAACCTAGCAACAAAAGACAACTAACCTAGCAGCATCAGACAACTAACCTAGCAGCAAGAAAGAACTAATGTCCGCCACCATTCCTTCCACGACACTGTCAGGGATTCCTGGCTTCAGCCGATTGGGCTCTTCGGGATGCGCAATCTCGAGGCGAAGCACGGCAGACTGCGGCGTCGGTTGAGACAGTGGAGCTGGGATGTTTTTGGAAACCTTCACCAGCGCCTTGCTGCGGCTCAGAGTGCGCATGCGACGGCTGAACGGGCCTATGACCTGGACCCCACTCCGGAGAATAGGACTGCCATGCACCGCTCCACGCCGAGTACCAGCTCCGACTCCTCATGGAGGAGGATTTCTTGAAGCAGAAGGCGGCCGTTCGCTGGGTGGCCGAGGGCGAGCGGAACACTAGGTTTTTCTAGGGCTACGTTAGGCAGAAGCGTGCTAAGTCGTACATCCATAGTATCGAGGCTGATGGGTCATCCTTGACCCAGGAGGCTCAGATTCGGGAGTCGGCTGTTGCTCACTTCCAGACCCTCTTCACCTCTGACAGAGGGTCCCTCGTGGCCCCGACCGCTTCTTGTTTCCCCACCATCTCTCCTTCGGTCGATCTCATTGGCCTTTGTGAGCTCTCGAGCAGGGAGGAGGTTAGGGATGCTGTATTCGGGATTGATCCCAACAGCGTTTCTGGCCCGGATGGTTTCTCCTCCATCTTCTATCAGGTCTGCTTGGATCTTGTCGAGACTGACGTCGAGGAGGCGATGTTAGATTTTTTCTCCGGCCACCGGATGCCGGATTCCTTCACGTCTACCTCTATCGTCTTGATCCCCAAACGACCCAACCCCAGCTCTTGGTCCGATTACAGGCCCATCTACCTGT